TGATGTGGGCTATTGTGTACAGTGAGTGGGGGAGGTGGAGGAAAGATTACTGTAGTGTGATGTGGGCTATTGTGTACAGTGAGTGAGGGAGGTGAAGGAAAGATTACTGTAGTGTGATGTGGGCTATTGTGGGACAGTGAGTGAGGGATGAAGGAAAGATTACTGTAGTGGACAGACTGAACAACTCTCGTAGCTTGTGAGTGACAGTGATGTATTTAGTAAGAGACGGAGATTTATGGAGATGTAAGAGATTGATAAGATGGTGACTAGTAAAGGGAGAGAGGATGATAAAGACTGAGAGTGCAGACGACTTGTGTAGATACGGTACAAGAACAATGAGCAGGAGAGAGAAGGTGAGAGTACAGGTGAATACTAAAGGCTTCAGTATAGTAACATGAGGCAGTGGAGTGTTGAAGCTACTGAGGTGAAGGTGATAAATATTGTGGAAGGAAGGACCAGGTGGAAATGATGGGACGAATGATAAGGTAGAAAAGAGAGAGAGAGAGGCTGGCTGGCTGGCTTGTGAAGGATGATGGTTTGTGAAGAGACAAGAGGTAAATATTTTGGGCCGTGTTGTGGAAGGAAGAACTTGAACAGAACATATCTAGTCCAGCAGTGTTAATGTTGAATGATGACAAATGACTAATGAATGATGTAAGCTTTTCACTTGTATTTTACTTGAATAAAACATTATTATGGCTAATTATTCATTTATTTACAGGCATCAGAAACTCAAGATCAGGGGATGACGACCACAACTTGTTCCAGATGATGAAGCACCAAGACGCGGACAAGACGAACAAATATACTGAAGAAGTTGGATCTGCCAGACGACGAGAAGTTGTGTGTAGAAGTAAGTGTTGGTTAGATACGTCCACAAATTATATATTGAAGCAGATTATAACAGTGAAGTGACAGATTATTTAACAACGAGTGAGGGAAGGACTGGTGTGGTGTGGAGTGAGGGAAGGACTTGGTGAGGTAGGAGTGAAGGAAGGACTTGGTGGTGTGTAGGAGTGAGGGAAGGACTTGGTGTGTGTGTGGTGGGAGTGAGGGAATTTGTGGGGGGTAGGAGTGAGAGAAGGACTTGGTGTGTGGTGTAGGAGTGAGCGAAGGACTTGGTGTGTGTGTGTAGGAGTGAGGGAAGGACTTGGTGAGTGGTGTAGAATGAGGAAGGACTTGTGTGGTGTGGTGGAGTGAGGGAAGGACTGGTGAGTGGTGTAGGAGTGAAGGAAGGACTTGGTGTGTGGTGTAGAGTGAGGGAAGGACTGGTGTGTGTGGTGTAGGAGTGAAGGAAGGACTGGTGTGTGGTGTAGGAGTGAGGGAAGGACTTGGTGTAGGGAGTGAGGGAAGGACTTGGTGTGGGTATAGGAGTGAGAGAAGACTTGGTGTGTGGTGTAGAGTGAGGAAGGACTTGGTGTGTGGTGTAGGAGTGAGGGAAGGACTTGGTGTGGTGTGTAGGAGTGAGGAAGGACTTGGAGAGTGGTAGGAGTGAAGGAAGGACTGTGTGTGGGTGGTGGAGTGAGGGAAGGACTTGTGTAGAGTGAGGGAAGGACTACGTGTGTGTGTAGGAGTGAGGGAAGGACTTGTGAGTGGAGAGTGAAGGAAGGACTTGTGTGGTGTAAGAGTGAGGAAGGACTTGTGTGTGGTGTAGGAGTGAGGGAAGGACTGGTGTGGTGTAGAGGAGGAAGGACTTGGTGTGTGGTGTAGGAGTGGAGAAACATGTTGGTGTAGGAGTGAGGAAGGACTTGGTGGTATAGGAGGAGAGAAGGACTTGGTGTGTGGTGTAGGAGTGAGGGAACTTGTGGTGGTAGGAGTGAGAGAAGGACTTGGTGTGTGGGTGGTGAGGGAAGGGACTGTGTGGTATAGGAGTGAGAGAAGGACTGTGTTTGTTGTAGAGTGAGGGAAGGACTTGGTGTGTGGTGGAGTAGGAGGAGAGAAGGACTTGTGTGTGTGTGTAGGAGTGAGGGAAGGACTTGGTGTGGGTATAGAGTGAGAGAAGACAGTACAGGAGTGAGGGAAGGACTTGGTGGTGTGTAGGTGTGAGGGAAGGACTTGTGTAGGAGTGAGGGAAGGACTTGGTGTGTGGGTGTAGGAGTGAGAAAGACTGGGTGGTGCATAGGGAGGAGAGGAGACTTGTGTGGTGTAGGAGTGAGGAACGACTTGGTGTGTGGGCAGAGTGAGAGAAGGACTGTGTGTGTGGTGTGGGAGTGAGGAACGACTTGGTGGTATAGGAGTGAGAGAAGGACTTGGTGTGTGGTGTAGGGAGTGAGGGAAAGACTTGGTGTGTGGGTATAGAGTAGAGAAGGACTTGGTGTGTGGTGTAGGGGTGGGGAAGGACTTGGTGTGGTGGTATAGAGGTGAGGAAGGACTTGGGTGTGTGGTGTAGGAGTGAGGGAAGGACTTGGTGTGTGGTGTAGGAGTAGAGAAGGACGTGGGTGTAGGTGGGGAAGGACTTGGTGTGGGTGTAGGGTGAGGAAGGACTTGGTGTGTGTTAGGGGTGAGGGAAGGACTTGGTGTGTGGTATAGGGTGAGGGAAGGACTTTGGTGTGGTGTAGGGTGGGGAAGGACTTTGTGTGGTGTGGAGTGAGGGAAGGAATCTTGTGTGGTATAGGTGTGAGGGAAGGACTTGGTGTAGGACTTTGTGTGGTATAGGTGTGAGGAAGGACTTGGTGTGTGTGGTATAGAGGTAGAGAAGGACTTGGTGTGTGGTGTGGGGGAGGGAAGGACTTGGGTGTGGTATAGGAGTGAGAGAAGGACATGGTATAGGGTGAGGGAAGGAAGGACTTGGTGTGGTGTAGGTGTGGGGAAGGACTTGGTGTAGGTGTGAGGGGAAGGACTTGGTGTGTGGTATAGAGTGAGGAAGGACTTGGTGTGTGGTATAGGTGAGGGAAGGACTTGGTGTGGAGTGAGGAAGGACTTGGTGTGTGGTGTAGGGTGAGGGAAGGACTTGGTGGTGTGTGTGATGAGGGGAAGGACTTGGTGTGTGTTATAGGAGTGAAAGGACATGGTATAGGAGTGGGGAAGGACTTGGTGTGGTGTGTGAGGGTGAGGGAAGGACTTGGTGTGGTATAGGGTGAGGGAAGGACTTGGTGTGTGTGGTGTAGGAGTGAGGGAAGGACTCTTGTGTGGTGTAGAGGTGGGGAAGGACTTGGTGAGGGGTGAGGAAGGAATCTTGTGTGGTATAGGTGTGGGGAAGGACTTGGTGTAGGACTCTTGTGTGGTATAGGTGTGAGGGAAGGACTTGGTGTGTGGTGTAGGGTGGGGAGGACTTGGTGTGTGGTGTAGGAGTGAGGGAAGGACTTGGTATGTGGTGTAGGAAGGACTTGGTGTGTGGTTAGGACTAATATGTGCCCCTATAGATGGTCTTGTAGGTTAGTTCTTTATAATTCACTGTTATAATCTTGTGTGGACGTTATCGCCAGGTTGTCATGAACGAAGATAAGGTTATTCTGTTAAGTTTATTATTTGTCTTAATTCAACCATTGTAAAGTGAAGTGCTTCAGTCCCACCAATGGGGTACACTGCTGACGTCATTGTTTTGTAGTCTATTCCACCAATGGAGTAAACTGCTGGCGGTGATCACTGCTGTGTGCCACCAATAGTGATCCTCAGGTGACTTTAGCCCTCAGAACATGTAATATTGGTATAAAGCAAGTTGTACAGATGTACTAATGTCAGCATTCACTGAGTATTTGGTACTTTAAAGCCTGGAAGAGGTCAATGATATATATTGTTACGTAGAGATTATTGTAATCTTTTTGAGCTGAGACAAGTGATGTATGTTTTATCTCGCTATTGTTACAACAACTAGCAGTTAAACAAAGATAAAACATTACAGGATACACCATTTGTCTCGGCTCAAAGATTATTGTAAGCTTTAACAATATATATCACTCTTCCAGGCATTAAAGTACCATATACTCGTAAACAATTGCTTACATTTATTAAGTCAATATTAGTACTCCTGCACAACTTGCTTATGTATACCAACGAGTTTTTATATGGACAAGTTTTTATAATTATGAAAAATTTTGTATATGTTGAACCTTTTAAAAAAAATGTTGTTTTGTAAAAATAAATTTCTCCTTAGTATGTAAAGTGTTTTACTTAGATTTTAGGAAAAAAGTTCGACGTGTAAACTGGACACTTCAAACAAGGCAATCGAGATAGTCTATAAAGCAAAAAAAATGGACATTTTTTTGAAGAAAAGTTTGAAAATTTCTAAAAATTGAAGTTATTTTTTATAATTTGAAATATTAAAGTATAAAAATAAATTAATAGTTAATTTATATTAGTTATTAAATGTTATATTTAAGTTATTAAGAAATATAGTACTGAATATCGTAAAGTGTTTTCGATATTCAGCAAAAAGTGGATTACTGAATATCGAAAAGTGTTTTCGATATTTAGCAAACATGGATTGCTGAATATCGAAAACTGTTTTCGATATTCAGTAAAAGTTATTCAAGTGTTGATCCACCACACTAGGAGTTACTAGACTTATCAGATGAGACCAAGAGTGTTAAGTCAGGTCTATGAAAACTGTGAGACTTATTAACATTTATTTTTGATATTAAATACAAAGTTATTATGCGGCTTGGAGAGTAGAGGTCACTGCTGGAGGTCACTCAATATATGCTTGGAGCGAGAGGTCAGGTCACATTGCTGTAGGTCACGCCACCTGTTGCTTGGAGAGGACAAGTCACTGCTGGAGGTCACTCAATATATGCTTGGAGCGAGAGGTCAGGTCACAGTGCTGTAGGTCACGCCACCTGTTGCTTGGAGGACAAGTCACTGCTGGAGGTCACTCAATATATGCTTGGAGCGAGAGGTCAGGTCAGATGCTGTAGGTCACGCCACCTGTTGCTTGAAGGACAAGTCACTGGAGGTCACTCAATATATGCTTGGAGCGAGAGGTCAGGTCACAGTGCTGTAGGTCACGCCACCTGTGGAGAGGACAAGTCACTGCTGGAGGTCACTCAATATATGCTTGGAGCCAGAGGTCAGGTCACAGTGCTGTAGGTCACGCCATGTTGCTTGGAAGGACAAGTCACTGCTGGAGGTCACTCAATATATGCTTGGAGCCAGAGGTCATGTCACAGTGCTGTGGGTCACTCCACATGTTGTAGACAGGTCACAGTAATTGTTGAAGGCTTCAAGTCACTCTGGGACGACCGTCTCACCTGTAGGGAATAAAGAATAAGTTTATTTTATGGACAAGTCTGGGTCAAGATCTTACAAGCTTAAAAATTTTGATAATAGGCTATATTAATTAGTTAACTTTAAAATGCCATTATTAAATTATCCACAAAACTCTACTAACAATATATGAATAAACTGCGTATATTTAACATTAATATCTACAATAAAACTTTGTCTAAAATGCCAGAAACTCTTAATAGATCTCTTTAAAGTCCAATAACTTACGACAATTATATTAAGGTAAAAACTAAAATACTTAAGAATACTACAAATTACCTCAATGGAAATAATTCTGTGAAATGGTTCCTTTGACCTCACCGAGTTTAATGTAATACAGTGTTACGGGTATGATGCCCTCCGGAGGGTATATGGTGGGTAGGGTCACTGAGGGTAGACCGTGGGTATGATGCCCTGTGAAGGGTATATGGTGGTACCGAGGGTAGACCGTGGGTATGATGCCCTCCGGAGGTATATGGTGGAGGGTCACTGAGGGTAGACCGTGGGTATGATGCCCTCAAGGGTATATGGTGGTACCGAGGGTAGACCGTGGGTAGGGTCATACCCGAGGTGGGCATCAGTTCTCAATACATCTCTTACAACATTATAAACAAGGCGCCAGTAACCCGCTACACGTTAACCCAAGATGGTGACGTAACCTACACTGATTATGACAGTTAACCCAAGATGGTGACGTAACCTACACTGATTATGACAGTTAACCCAAGATGGTGACGTAACCTACACTGATTATGACAGTTAACCCAAGATGGTGACGTAACCTACACTGATTATGACAGTTAACCCGAAGATGGTGACGTAACCTACACTGATTATGACAGTTAACCCGAGATGGTGACGTAACTCAACAATTATGACAGTTAACCCAAGATGGTGACGTAACCTACACTGATTATGACAGTTAACCCAAGATGGTGACGTAACCTACACTGATTATGACAGTTAACCCGAGATGGTGACGTAACCTACACTGATTATGACAGTTAACCCAAGATGGTGACGTAACCTACACTGATTATGACAGTTAACCCAAGATGGTGACGTAACCCATCTCTCAGGTTAAAGTATAATATAATACTCGTTCCTTTAAGTGGTATAGATTGTGTTTAAAGTTTACCATAAAACCTTCCGTAAACCAGGTGCGCGGGGTGACAAGTTACCCTTGGGGAGTAAACTACAAGTATTAAGTTAATCAACAAACTCGTAGGTCAACTAACTCCGTCCTGGACACCTGTGTAACCTTCTACACACTGATGACGTAACAGCAAGGTAATAACGCCCACTAAGTACACGTAATATACGGCAATACCTGTACACTAATGGGTAACACCTACCCGTCACAGGAACACCCGTCACCCAGGGAACAACACCGTCACCCAAACACCGTCACCAGGGAACACCGTCCCACGAACACCCACCACCCAAGAACACCGTCACCCAGGAAACACCACCACCCAGGAAACACCCACCACCCAGGGAACACCCCCCCAGGGAACACCCACCACCCAGGGGCACCGTCACCCAGGAACACCGTCACCCAGGAACACCGTCACCCAGGAACACCCGTCACCCAGGAACACCCGTCCCCAGGAACACCGTCACCCAGAACACCCGTCACAGGAACACCCGTCACCCAGGAACACCGTCACCCAGGGAACAACACCACCCGTCACCAGGGAACACCCGTCACCCAGGGAACACCGTCACAGGGAACACCCGTCACCCAGGGACACCGTCACCCAGGAAACCCGTCACAGGAAACACCCGTCACAGGGGCAACACCACCCGTCACCAGGGGAACAACACCACCCGTCACCCAGGAACAACACCACCGTCACCCAGGAACACCGTCACAGGGAACACCACCCGTCACCCAGGGAACACCCGTCACCCAGGGAACACCGTCACCAGGAAACACCCGTCACAGGGAAACACCCGTCACCCGAGGAACAACACCGTCACCCAGGGAACAACACCACCCGTCACCAGGGAACACCGTCACCAGGGACACCCACCCGTCACAGGGAACAACACCACCCGTCACCCAGGGAACAACACCCGTCACAGGGAACACCCGTCACCCGGGAACAACACCACCCGTCACCAGGGAACACCGGTCGAGGAAACACCGTCTTCACCAGGAACACCCACCACAGGAACACCCACCACGTCACCCAGGGAACACCCGTCACCCAGGTACAACACCACCCGTCACCCAGACACCTATCACCCAGGAAACACCCACCACCCAGGAACACACCCACCACCCAGGGAACAACACCACCCGTCACCTGACAGTAACAGTAGCGTCTGTAAAGCAGCGGTTCGTAATCAACAGCCGTCAGCAGGACACAGACACCAGGCGGGCAGCAGCACTCGGGCAGCAGTAAACAGCGGAAGCAGCACAGTGAAACTAACAGTCGCTGGGTGTGTCAGGTCCACTGTCACCTCTATCACCAGTTCACTGTGAGTCTGGAGACGTGTGAATGAAGCCTCGACTCTCCCAAACTGAACCATCAAACATCTGAATCCCAGTTTACTAACGAATATGAGCACTTTTACTAAACCACCGCAGAGAAAATAACCTTTAGTAAATAATAATAATGAATTAATTAACACAATAAAGCTATTACTCATAATTACTTTAATCATTGAGGAAGTGACTCAATGTTCGAGGACTGATTCGGTGTGTTGTGGTCCTGCAATGACGTCATCAGTGGGCGGGTTAGTAAACGAGGTGTTTGGACGATCTGTTAGTTGTTGCGCTGGTTTATAATTGTTTACAGTATATGACAACAGACGAATATGATAAATAAACAATATATTCTTGACTTATCATCGTTTCTTGTAAAGTACACACACACACAGACACACACACACACGCACACAGACGTGATCGACTGCTCAAGCGGCTAACAGACCGATCAGTGACGAACAGGTTAAGTAAAGTAAAGGATAACCCAAGAAAGACGTTAATAGCTTTTATATCCACTTGTATTAACAGTATGTATTAACATGTAATATCGGACGTCAAAGTTTAACAGTTCATATGTGCATAAACTTGTAATTGTGGAGGTTGTATAAATTAGGATAGTTCCCCACCGCCAACATCGTTTCTGATTCATAAATTATAAAGTCTACGGGAACTGCATATGTTTTCAGAAATTGTCAGCTGGAGATCGTAATAAAATTGACCTTAACTCTTCACCATGATCGTAAATTCCTTATACAGTGAGTGTAACGAGCACAAAATATCCCCAGTGACTGGAGATTAGCGTAGTGAGTAAAGTAGAATAACAGCACACCGCACACACACACACACACACACACACAGACGTGATCGACTGCTCAAGCGGCTAACAGACCGATCAGTGACGAACAGGTTAAGTAAAGTAAGGATAACCCAAGAAAGACGTTAATAGCTTCATCCACTTGTATTAACAGTATCTATTAACATGTAATATCGGACGTCAAAGTTTAACAGTTCATGTGTGCATAAACTTGTAATTGTGGAGGTTATTAGGATAGTTTCCCCACCTGCAGCATCGTTTCTCTGATTCCATAAATTATAAAGTCTACGGGAACTGCACGTATGTTTTCAGAAATTGTCAGCTGGAGATCGTAATAAAATTGACCTTAACTCTTCACCATGATCGTAAATTCCTTATACAGTGAGTGTAACGAGCATAAGAATCTGATAGTGACTGGAGATTAGCGTAGTGAGTAAAATAGTGTACACACACACACATACATAGCATTTAAGTGTAAAGGTAAGAGATAAAAGTAGACTTTCTTACGATTTACACGGGACATATTCTGAAACAAGGTAGTGCAATTCCCGTAGACTTTGTAAAAATGAAAACAGAGAAAACGATACTCGCCTGACAGTTGAAGGGTAAACTATCCTAATTTACCTTACGTCCCATATTGTTAGATTGTTTGCATAACTGTACTCTCTATGAACATTGTTTCCATACCACTAATGTCTATGTACATTGTTTACATACCTACACTGTCTCTGCACATTGTTTACATACCTACACTGTCTCTACACATTGTTTACATACCTACACTGTCTCTACACATTGTTTACATACCTACACTGTCTCTTCACATTGTTTACATACCTACACTGTCTCTGCACATTGTTTCATACCTACTGTCTCACATTGTTTACATACCTACACTGTCTCTGCACATTGTTTACATACCTACACTGTCTCTGCATCATTTTACATTTACACTGTCTCTACACATTGTTTACACTGTCTCTGCACATTGTTTACATACCTACACTGTCTCTACATTGTTTACATACCTACACTGTCTCTGCACATTGTTTACATACCTACACTGTCTCTGCACATTGTTTACATACCTACACTGTCTCTACATTGTTTACATACCTACACTGTCTCTACACATTGTTTACATACCTACACTGTCTCTACACATTGTTTACATACCTACACTGTCTCTACACATTGTTTATACCTACACTGTCTCTACACATTGTTTTACATACCTACACTGTCTCTACATTGTTTACATACCTACACTGTACACATTGTTTACATACCTACACTGTACACATTGTTTATACCTACACTGTCTCTACACACTGTTTAATACCTACACTGTCTCTACACACTGTTTACATACCTACACTGTCTCTACATTGTTTACCTACACTGTCTCTACACACTGTTTACATACCTACACTGTCTCTACACACTGTTTACATACCTACACTGTCTCTACACACTGTTACATACCTACACTGTCTCTACATTGTTTTACCTACACTGTCTCTACACACTGTTTACATACCTACACTGTCTCTATTTATACCTACACTGTCTCTACATTGTTTACACTGTCTCTACACACTTTTACATACCTACACTGTCTCTACACTGTTTACATACCTACACTGTCTCTACACATTGTTTACATACCTACA